GCTGCCTTGACAACCAATCACAACATTTCTTGCATTACCTCGACAGCAGAAGAGGAAAATTATTATGCAGTGCAGGCATAATTATTATGCCAAGTTGATATTCTGATCATATTTTTTCCAAGCACATTTTACCAATTCCAAACGACATCAATCTTATACAGATAAAACTGTTTGAACAGTACCACTGTTTGAAGAATTTATCTTCCAGAATCCGGAAGTACGTTTTGGGAGTTCATTTTTAGTCCATCTCGAGATTTTATCTGTAGAAGATAACCTGCTTAATAATTATGCACACCTGAATATAAGGCGTTTTTCACTTCCAGGTAAAATGTGCTTGGAAAAAAATATGATTAGAATATCAACTTGCATAATAATTATGCATGCACTGTATTTTTCCTCTTCTGCTGTCGAGGTAATGCAAGGAATGCTGTGATTGGTTGTCAAGGCAGCCAATCAGAATTTAGCAGCCTCGTCTCTGACTGGCTGGAATTATGGCATATTGTACCGCTGGGTTGTGTTGAGCAAGCGAGCTGTTAGAGAGCACTGAGGGCTGGCATCAGGTGAGCAAGCTAGTGAAACATTGCACACGCAAAAGAGAAGGTCTGCACACATCCAAAAAACGTATTTTAAATGCAAAATTGATTTTCGTGCGCTCGAAATACTTTTTTCTTTGCGAAACGAACATTTTCTCCACAAAACTCAGATCGCGCGCGTGCAAAATGCACTTTTGTGCGCTCAAAATATGATCTTTCGCACGCAGAATTGTGGCAGAGATCTAAGCCTATAGGATTAGGGCATAGTGATGAGCCCTTCCGAATGAAACGCAGTGCAGGGCTTTGGAGTGCGTATCGCGAATCATTTGAATAGATCGGAGCTTTGGAGCAGGTTTGTGAATCTTTTGATTCAGAATGGAACTTCGGCACATGTATCGCGAATCGTGATTCAGATCGGAACTTCGAGCACGTACCGCAAATCAATTGATTAGATCGAAACTTTTGAGTGAGTTCGTGAATCTTTTGATTCAGATCGGGACTTTGGAGCGCGTATCGTTCTTTCTTTCTTTCTTTCTTAAACAGTACAAAACATAAAACCATTAAGGCAGTACAGTTATGAAAATAAAACAAAGAAAAAAAGAGAAAAAAGATACAAATCCCTTGAGAAAATTACTATGGTTTTATTATAGTAAAAGTGTTTTAGTTTTTTTTGGGGTGTATTGAATACCATTTGTATAATATAATAAAGAGAGGTTTAGAGCCAGTAAATTTTTGTTTATGTAGGCCTATGTGAAATTTAGCTAGCAGGAAACACAAATTAGCCTAAGTTATATTTTGCTAGGCCTATATTTTCTTTTGAGTAAACAATCCAAAGAAAAGATATTTAAACCCGCTGCTGTAATGTTGTTGGTTTTACATAATCAAAATTGTGTAATTATTGTCTGATGAATATGCTAACATAAACAAGCGCTCTTTATGAATGTTAGCTACCATAGCTACTGTATAAATAAACCTTTTAGATGACACAAAACTGTGGTCAAAAGTCTATCAATGCAAAAATGCTCTTATGCCCCCACCTATGTCAAAATCAAACCTACACCCTAGGCTAAAAGAAGAGTTAAATAAGAACTAAAAAGAACAAACAATTTGAACATTTAAACACTGACCTCACAAGACTAAATAATGGTACAGCAAGCAATTTCTGAGATACACTGTGGATATTTGAAATCAACACACAAACAAACCCAGACAGACAGGATATGAATAAAGCATGAAAGATCTTTATTGCTGATTTACATTAGTTTCATATCAAAGCACTTGATTATTTTTTTTAACTCTAAATGACCATTTCATTTTGTAAATATTCTTATATCCTCAAGACAACTGAGAGCTTTAGCAGGATTTACAATGACAGTGCTTTTTTACTTTGGTTTGACCACAATATCAGCGACTCCGTGCACTTGAGTGAGCAGACGGCAGTCCATCGATGCCAGGAGCTTCTGAGAGCCGGCGACAGTGGGAACAAACTTCTCTGTCAGTGTAACCGTCGCAAGCTTATCCACATCACTGAGAAACACAACTAGATTATAAACTGTCTGGAAGCTTTTCACTCTTTAAATACATTTTATCATAGTACAGCTCACACACATGAAGCAAATTTGCATGAAGTGCATGCACATGTCGCACCTCAAAATGCTCTTAAACACTGAAAGTCTTACCCATACGCGATCTTCCTGACGCTCTGCATTCCCAATCCCTCTATACGGAACAAAACGTTCCTCAACACTTGTGACAGCGGGTTCTGGAACGTGATCTTGACTGTCAACTCTTTACCCACCACAGCATCCCCTTGAGGCTGAAACAGTCAAAACACAATCAATGGATGTAGATTTTTTAAATTAAGGACACTTAATTCTCAAATCTCAGTTGTAATTCAAATATGGTGCTTTTAGATGCATTGAACCAGGTTGAACATCAACAGATTTGACGGTAAGATATAAGAAAGTTGTGTGCTTGTTAAAGGTCCCAAATAAAGACTAGTGGATCATCGACGTACAGTGATGATGAGGTCTGGTGTGCGCAGCCTGAAGTTGAACTGTGTGGCCAGAATCTGTCGGGTCTCGTTGACCCGTCCAGTGACCGCTAGCATAAGAGCGCCCTGGTCCACCAGATGGCTCATGTACTCCTTATACTGCAGAGTCCAAGGAATAGTCTTGGCTGAAGGGAGAGAAAAGGAACATGACATTAATGATTATAATGAAATATTTCATGGTCATTTTGCACAGTACTCCAGTCCTTTTTGCTCACTGCCCATAATCTTAAACATGAATGCAAATTCAATTAATCCCTCAAACATGTGCACCAGCTTGAGTACTTTGTGTTGTTTTGTGTGTATGTGTGTTTTCCCTCTAAAAACACTAAATTTAAGGAAAACAGATGCAACATTAGCTAACTGAGATCCATAATACATTAAGTTGATCAAATTGTTGTTCATATACAGAAATATCCATTTAAAATTCTATTTAAAAGTAAGCATTACCACTTTTAGATGCACAGCAGCTTATCAGCTTAACTTGTTTTACTTTTCTTTAAGTTCAGAAAAAAGTTACCTTCTTTTAGAGGTAAATAAGGCACAGAGATGTTCTTTTAAGGGTATAAAGGTACAATTTGTGAATGAAATTTAACACCAACTACAAGTAGGTCTCATCATCAGGTGATTTTTGAGAAATGCAGCTACTAATTCAGACATTTTGGGGCACAGTAACCAGAAAAATGTCTCTGGTGGGACTGTAAAACTCACTCTCTTGCGGTTTGAGGGTGAGAGGAATCTGATCCTTCTTCACAGTGGTTTTCAGCACGCCGGTGTAGTACATGACCATCACCTCATACAGCAGACTGGCCGTGCGCTGACTTGAGCTTTTGTTCTTCAGGACGATGGAGAGTTTGGCATCTCCACCGATACGAGGCCCTGCCCCGTCCATGACAATCTCAACGCTCACGTCATTGCCGGTGGGAGACGGATACAAAGTCGGTTTGGAGCCGAAGCGACTGGCCCTTTCCACAGCAATGCGCTCCTCCTCTGAACCTGATGGACATGATCAGACAGTAAAGAGGTATTACCTCCAAACCCATTATTCTAAAGTGTGCTGCTTACATAGGGATCCAACTCAAGTTATCAACATAAATTGCTGCTTCCAATGTTTTCTAATTTTCAGTTTCCTTTCGTGTCTTTACATATCAGTGTATCGTCACGAGCCGCAGGGTTTAATTTGGTTTTGTTTGTGTATGTTTTTTTGACTCTCAAAGCTGTGATTCCCATTCACTTCCATTATAAGACTGACAGACTGCAACGGTTTGAGTTAAAAATCTTCGTTTGTGTTCTACTGAAGAAACAGTTACCTACATCTTGGATGCCCTGGTGGTAAGCAGATAAACATCAAATTTACATTTTTGGGTGAACTATCCATTTAAATGACTGTAACTAAAATTTTAGTTATATATATATATAGAATATATATTCTCTCTCTCTCTCTCTCTCTCTCTATATATATATATATATATATATAGGCCTATAAACATAAAAAGTAATAAAAAAATTAATAAAAAAAAACAACATTAAAATGGAAAATATAAAAAATTTAATTCAGAAAATATTAATAAGTCAAGTCAAGTCAAATTAATAAAAATATATTATTTAAAAATTATACTAAACACTGTCTTATATTAAAGTTGCTATACAATTATTATGATTATTATTATTGTTATTAAATATGCATGAAAATAAGCAATCCCCATTGGACGCATGTCTGTGATGCCTTCAATTGTTTCTAGGAAAGCAGCTCTAGGTTTTGCACCAGATGCATTTGTTTTGTTACCTTCTGGGTATTTGTAGAGGTGTGTGATGTCCACACGAGCATCAGATCCCACAGCTTTAGTACTGATGCTCTGACCGATGGAGTTCTTCTCCACATTAACCTGACTGAAGCTTCTATCGGGTTTCTTCTGCCAGTAGATCCTATCACTGTTCACCTGAGACACATAATGAAGCCATTTCAGCCTTTCAGAAGATGTTCTGAATAAAGTGCAAAGTTCAAAATGTCATCAGACACAAATGACGGTGAGAAGAGTTTCATATGAAAGCGCTCACTTCGGCAAAGACAAACGGAGTGTCGAATTTCAGTTCGACTTGTCCTTTGCGGACAGCGGAGACGGAAGTGGGACCGCAGCGGTACGAACCCTGGCTGGGCTCCTGAGGGGTCGCGTCCACCACCTGCCACCCGCCGTAACCAGCCGGGAGGTCCGGACGGGTCATCCAGGACTCGTTCCACACATGGAAGTTCCTACAGGGAAAGTTTATATAAAGCAGGGATTTTTTTTGGTCTGCAATTTACAAAAATAAAACTGAATAGGCCTAAAACAAGACCTGAACCTGTTTTGTTTTTTTTTACAAATAGTGAAATGAGGCACTTTACCTAAAAAAAAAAAAGAAGGAAAAAAATCAATCATCTAAATATTATAAGGGCAGTTTGCAGGGCAAGTTTGTTTTTCAACTGATTTGTGTCATTTTGTGTTGTGAAAATTATTAAAGTGCCCCTATTATGCATTTTTGAAAATTACCTTTAATGCAATGTGTAACACAGCTCTTATTGAATATAAACATCATGCAAAGTTTTAAATCTGAAAGTGCACCGTGTATAAAGTTATTGTCTCTCAAACAAAAGAGTCGACTCTGAATCATTGAAACGAGTCGTTTTTAAAACGAATCCCAAGCCATTTCATGTTGAGGTCAACATGAAACATTAGCATATTGCCGCCTACTTGTTGCATGCGCAGACCTGGGAAAACTTGACCATCAGTCGATTTTCGCGTTCGTCTGAATGAAAATGCAAATTCATTCTTTGCCACTAGGTGCTGCTTTTGAAGCAGTAAAATAGCGGTTTCCCCGGTAATACTGTACACAAAGCAGCACTGCGCTCACAAACGCTGCTTTATCAGGATTACAGGCAGGATGAAATGAAAATGAGACCAATCGGACCAATCACTGCAGATTAGCGTCACGCAAAGGAGGGGTTTGGAAAAATGAATCGTTTGGGAGTTTATTAGTATTAGTTTATTGAACATATTTTTTAGCTATTTATTGAACATATACATATTTTGTGTGTTTTGTCATTTTTAATTAGTTGTAGTTTTTTTGTGTTTTTTAATAGGGGAGCTTGGGGCACAAAGTAACACCGGGTTAGTTGTAACACACATGGTTTGAATATTTCCACACATGCTAGCATAACAAAATTTACAGTATTTATTAGTTACCATATCAACATTATACAGAAAAAAAAGGTGTGAAAAAATTCAAAAATCTTTTGAAGATATCAACGAACATTTATTTTACCATAGTAAAATTATAATTCTGGCTTAAGTAAATCTTTCATCTCTGTTTTTATTAATCATTTAAAATTATTATTTTAATCTCCAATCTGTTATTTATCAGTTTAGATAGACAGCAACTGAACGTGCCCCTCAGATGTTACAATGTACCCCACCTACGGGGCATGTTGTCACATTTCACTTCCATTTTTTGAGGGTACATAAAGAAAAACGTATACACTGTAATCATGAAACAAAGCCATATATTTGTACTAGACAAGTGTAAAATTACTGTGGATAAAAAATTCTATTCTGAACACCATGTGGATTTACACAAACAAAAAGTGTTACTTTGTGCCCCGCTCTCCCCTATGTATATAAAGTTTTTTATAAATTTTTATTTCAGATTTAGTTATTTTAGTAGGCTACTTCAAGTTAAACTAAACAAAAATTAGAAATGTTGAAATAACTATGAAATAAACCATAGTTAGGTTATTTTTTATTAACATTTATTCTATTTCAAGTGATTTTTTTATGGTTTTACTTTTAGTGAAATATAATAACCCTGATATCATATTAATGTAAAGTGTCAGTAATGATGGCTGTATTTGAGAACTGTCAGTTCATTAATCATCAAAATGTATTATAAAGTCTTCCAAGCATAAGTTTAGCTAATCAGAGAGACTAAGTATAACATAAACCTGACTCTGATGACATTAATGACAGTAAAATATCGTACCAGACAGAATCGCTGGTCTTGTCTTTGATAACTTCCAGCTTCTCGTCAATATAAATGTCTGTGGTCAAGGAAAGGTCCGTGTCATGAGCCGAGCTGAAGTTGGTCACACAACGGGTGGGAATACCAAGACATCTCAACACTGAGAAAGACATTTATTTAGAAAACATTTTATTCCTAAAAACATGATAAAAATATATTTTTAATACAGTGATAAAAAGAGAAATAAATCCAAACGTACCTGAATTGGTGACTCCCGCATAGACCCAGCACTGGGCGAATTTGACAGGTTTCCCTGAGCTTTTGTAATACTGTCTCAGGATGTCGCCGCTGCCGCTCCAGGCGGTAGGAGACGTCCCGCCCTCATAGCTGTCCTTCCAGTTACCCATCAGAACACCGTAGTCATCGTTGGAGTTCACCTGTCACAGAAGAGCAGAAAAGCTTTATAAAAACAGGTGCTTTTCAGCTCTTTAATCGTGCGTCTCACTTTTCTGTCCCTCACAGGAAAGACAGTAAGCTACACGTTGTTTTGTGTCCTGTATGAACACAGAAGGTTCATATGAACCTAAAACTGCCACATGCTGGCTACTGTATTTCACCTTCTCAAATCACATTCATGATTTCTTATGAATCCATGTGAACGTGACTCACCAGAGCAGATACCATTCTGGACACAATCACTGGATCTCTCCATTCGGTCATAGCGACCTGACCTCTCTCCAAAATGAACAGACATGCTTCCAGGATATCCTGTTCAAACTGATAAAACAAATGCAAAATAATAAAAAATCATAATAATGGAATTGATAAATTGGAAATAATAATAATAATAATAATAGAATCATAGATAATACCAGAATTTGATTGAAACTGATAAAACAATACAATAATATTAGTAATAATATTCATTTTATTAATAACAATAAAACTATTTAATATTATTGTTATTGTTAATTTGTTGTTGTTCATTTTTATTGTTGTTGTTACTATTATTATTTGTTATTTCCATTATTATTATAATTTTATTATTATTATTATTAATATTATTAGATTTATAGACAATAATAAATATGAAAAAGAACAATTGCATGGCAATGATGACGACGATGATGATGATGATAAAAATTAATAAAAATAATAGAAATAATAATAATAGAAATATAGGTAATAATAGAATATGTTCAAACCGATAAAAATGCATAATAATAATAATAATAATAATAGAAGATAATACCAGAATTTGATTGAAACTGATAAAACAATTGCATAATGTACA